TGCAGTATTTCTGCTCTAGGTAGAGGGCTTTCATTTGTTTGACTGACAACCTCATCACCATCACGTACTAGAGGGGATGCCTCACCTACAGACACAGCTGCCTCATAGGACGGAGTGCCCTCACTTTCAGCGGACGTTTTTAGTTTGTTAAGTTCACAAAGTAAAACTTTTTCATACTCTACCCCACTCAATCTAGCAACACCCTTTAACTCAGAAAGGTAGGACTGTGTAAGACTAGACGTTAGCTTAGCTGAGTAAAGCGGGGATAAGAGTTGGATGTGGTGAACAACATTTGGATCAGATGTGGGTCTACGACATGGTAGTTCATCCTGAATTGCCTCAATAGCTGTGCCAGACTGAAACTCAACTATTGCTGCATCTTTGAAGTCAGAGTCAGAGCTATTGAGTGTGACAGTACGCGTGATAGAACCATACCGTTGCAAAAACGTAATGAATTCTTCATCAAGCTCTGTACCTGATAACCCGCTGACTAACACAGCATTTGGTACCTTAATACCTTCAGTCACAATAGTATCCATATTTCGTTCGTACGTTTGTAAAAAAATTGTAACAATACTGCCAACTGTATGTCAATTAGTGGATTGAACTCCTCCTGGCTGGCTCGCCAAATTTATGTAACACCTGCTTAATATAATTAAGTTAGGGATTTCAGACTAGGCTCTAGAGGAGTAGGAAGGAGAAAGAATTAAAGTTGAACAGCCGGCAGATTTATTACAATTTAACAATTGCACTTAAATCAAAACAAAAATAACATCTTTAGAAAGATGAAAAACAAAATAAAAATAGTTTGATTGTCTTTAGTCCCGATATACAGGAAAGTTCAGTGTGAAAGCGGTCTTTCGCAACTTGTTGTCCGTTCGGATGTGTATTTGGTGTTCTTATCTGGGATCCAAAGGATTTGAAGTGGTCGGGTCTTTATCCAGAAACCAGAACAGCTGGCCACACTGTTCCAGAGTCTAGAGGTGAGTTCACTGGGTCTGGCTCGCCATCAACTTCAGTGTTCAACTCCAAGATCCGTTTCCAGCACCACAAAAAAACCAGTCTGCACATACAGTACAGAACAATTAATAAAATGGTAATATCTAGTCAAATGAGATCTCATATATGTTTCTAAATCAATGAAATTGTGAATTTACATTGTTTTGGTTCAATGAAATAAATGAAATGCTTTACAACATTACATCAAACAATATTTTGTCTACACCTTTTTTTAAGGCTTTTAAATTATAATTATTACACTTGTTTTTTAACTTAACTTATCATTAACAAAAGTTCCCTTATGAATTTCCCTCTAAATGAAATGACAATGTGCTAAATTAGCATTGCATAACATAGTACAATAAATGTGCATATTTCAACAATAAAACTTTCAACATAAACAGTGCTTCACATGAAAACTTTGTAAAATAAGGCATTGAATTATAGCACAATACCCTTTTAGGGTTCAATACTCTGACTGGTTTTAGCTTATTTAGCATTTAGCTTTTTAGCATTCTCGTAACACGTGCAAAGCAAAAGTGCGTTCTGCTAGCTTATTACATTCTAATAACTCACCAGAGTTTCCAAGAAACAACAACACTCCACACGGTTTGATTTTTGAGCAAGACACTCTAAAGCACTGCAAAGTACATATTCTTAAGTTAGAAGTTGTTTAAAAAGTACATTTTATACACTTTCATCTTGTTAACTCACTGTGCAGCTCTCTCGTCTGCTCTCCGTGTCTCACTGCGGACTCTAGCTAGATGCAGGCCGAGTGTGCCTAAGGTGTGTTCAAGTCAGGTAGGAAAGGTGTGTGGTACATTCAAGGGCGCGTTGGAAATAAGGGCTTTTGACGATGTTATACTAGTAACCATGGATTTACATGGGTTACACTAACATACCTTGAAAACCCAAAGGCGTTATATTGTATACTCAATGGTTAATATAATGTCATCCTGGTAATGTCATCCTACTATTTGTACAGACTCAGAGCAGAGTGATATAAAAAGATAATGTTTGCTAAACATTTTAAATGTACAATCACTTTAGTGATTTTCTCCCCATGTTAGGAGTAGTGGCTTGGCTTAGATTTCCTTAAACTTAATCTTTGCCTTTTCAAAAAAGAGCTCTACAAATATTATTAGCAATTTGCTATGTCACTACAAGCACTGGTTAATTGGTTTGTTTGTATGGATGTCTGGATGGATTTGATTTCTACAGGGTCACTCTAGTTTTATTGAGGACTTCTGCTGCCCTTCACATGTGCTCCACCACCTTCAGAACACTTTTTGCTTTGGTCGCTCTGATTAATAATAATAATTATGCATCAGTTTTATACAGTGCTTTTTGGACACTCAAAGACGCTTCACATGTCATTATTCATTCACTCCAAACACAGTGGTGATAAAGTACAGCCACATCTGCCCTGGGGCACACTGACAGAAGCGATTGCCCCCTCCGACCACCACCAACCAATCACACACACCAGTCTCATTCTAGGCAATGGGTAAAGTGTCTTGCCTAAGGACACAACGGCAGTGTGACACTTTACAGCGGCATCCGCCCCAATGTGGCGCCTGGTGTTCCCAGAGGTCTCCTATCACAGTTCTTAAAAGGCCCTGCCCTGCAGAGCTTTAGAGGTCTGACGGGATCTGACTTTCACATGTAGGTATGGCTCATACATACACAGACTCGGCAATCAATTGCGGCAATCTATAATAAATATTTGCAGAACTTGCAAAAAGATTCAACTAAAGAGCCCTGGGAGTCACAACTGGTCCTCTTTCTTACTGATCCAAAGATGGGAGAGAGGCCAAAGAACAGCGGAGTTCCATTGTTAGTGCTTTGAAAGTTACGCACCACAGCTTTAGCCCTCCCTCTTTGTATGGAGCAATAATTCACAAAGTAAAGAGCATTCAATTTTATTTTTAGGCATCTTGTTCACGGTTAACCTGCTTCTCCACATGTTTCCCCTCACGGCCGTGCTCTCCCTCGGCCCCTGGGGCTTGTGGAGTATAACAACGATTCCCTAGCGTGTCCCCCATTACACTACAATATCATAAGGTCAACGCGCGCAAACTGTCAACAATTCCGGCTGCGGTTCACCTCCAAAGAGCGTCTGTAAAATGTGACAGCACATTATAAGTAGAGCCAGCGAATCCAGTTACAGCATCTGACATCAAGACGCGTTTCCCAGCATGCACCTCTCACCCGAGGCTTGCGCTCTGCTTTTGAAGATATGCCTACATGCCTGTTAGCTGCTCACATGCATGTAGCACCAAAATACCACACGTCTATCTTTGATCTCGGCCCCGGCTGCACACATTAGCTGGGGTTTGGTGAAGGTAAGAGCACCTTAGACGAGGAGGAGAGAGATGGAAAATTATGAATTCAAAAAAAGCAATTCTCCCGAGAGGTGACTTTATTATACATGAGCTCTGTGCGTGTCATTACTCTGTTGAAATATGTATATTTTCTCTTAAAACAAAATGATGAGACTTTGATATTGGTAATTTAGGGCAAATCTCCCAAACTATTGCCAAAACCTGATATTTTTTAAAAGTGAAATTAGAATGCAATTTATGAGAATGCTTTTAGAGGTGTCAACGGTGTTTTAATGTTGCTTTATACTGCTGTTGCAACCCCCACTTTCCACCTTGTGAAAAATGTGCCTTTTCTGAAACCGGATAAAAGAATCTTTTTGATGTCTAAAAGAGATGACTGTCTTGAGTTTGCCATCACAAAAGCATACTCAAATTGTTTTAGCTAATAAGATAAATAAAATGAATAATAGACTGTTTTATGGTCTTAAGACAAATTTTTACTCTCTGGCTTTTAACACGGCGTGAGTTGTGTTGTCCTATTATTTTGTTTTATTTGTTTTATTGTTTTTATTTATTCATTTCTTTTTAAATCGGATAACTAGTATTTTATTGTTTTTACCACCTGTTTATAGTTTACTGGTATTTTATTGGTTGTATTACATTTTTATTGTTTTTACTTTGTGCATATTTAAATGTGTTGATTTTATCTCTGTGCAGCACTTTGGAAACTTGTTTTATAAAATGTGGTATATAAATAAAGTGGATTGGATTGGATTATGGTAATCTAGCTGCACTGTGGCTATAGCTCACCATTATATTGACTCATATGCTTTCACCCACTAAAAGTCATTTATGACCCAAAAAAAGTTAGTTTGACCCGAAAATTCTATCGTAACAGCACAAATTGTTCTGTGTTCCAAAAAGTGTGTAAGCACCTAAAAACCCATTGTGATGAATAGGATGAGGATGTGATGAAGAAAAAGACAGTTCAATATTAAATATTTGAGGTTGTCAGTGATTTTGTTCAGACACAAAGAGAACAGAGACAGACCTCGAAATTTCCCCACTGTGAGACAAATAAAGGAACTCTCATCTCTTCATGTTGACCAATTCCACTTTTGTTTGTTATGGCCATAGAATGGAGAGGACTGACCGAGTATACACGTCACACTTAGCTGAATGCTTTGCTGAATGTGGAAGAAGCTGATTTGGTCCGGCAGGGTTAGCATTGTTAACAGGGGCAGACGTATTTGCTAAGATGGTGGCCACGGCAAGCTGGAGTTTCCCCTAAAAATATAGGCATCATTGCATGGCTCATATCTAGATTTACAAAGACAATGTAAACAAAAAATAACCACCAGGGTCACAGAGAGCGATCATCCACAGATTTTGAAGACCAAAATGTTCACTGAGCTAGGAGATTACTTTTATCATAAGTCAATCGGAGCCAGAAACATAGCTGGACACATTCATTCAGCCCTGCTTTCTCACTCTGAGCTCTGTCTGTTTACAAAATACAACTGTCCCTTCCTCCAAAAGAAAGGGTCCTTAAGTAGTTCAATAACTTCCTGCTCCACATTTCGGTCGGTCTCCACATATAAACTTAAATTCCAAATCCGCAAGCCACTTGTTGTCTTACAGCAGACATCTGCTCTGGGGGAGGAGAGGAGCACCGCCATGGAAGCTCAGACCAAAGTGGGACTGCTGCAGAAGGAGACACAGGACCAAAAGCGTGAAGTGTCCTATAAAAAGACACTGGATTACCACTGGATGTGGACAGGAGCTGCTCAATGTAAAGTGAACAGACTTGAAACACAGACACAAGGCCTGAAGGATCAGGTCTCCTCTCTGACACATGCTCAGGGAGAGGACAGGACAAGTCTTGTGGAGACTCAGAGTACTGTATAGAGGATGGAGGAGGAGACTCTGGAGCTGAAGACAGAAGTCTCCTCTCTGGCATCTGCTCTGGAGGATGAGAAGAACAATGTCTCAGAAGCTCACAGTGAAGCAGACATCGGCCCTGGAGGAGGAGAGGAGCACCACTCAGAATCTCCGAATCACATGAACATGTTGTAGAAGAAGATGCTCCAGCTGCTGTCTGCAGTGTCAGACCTCAGCTGCAGAGTGACAGAGCAGGAGAACGACATGTCAACAGCAGGAACTCCACACTGCTGTGGATCAAGCAGAGATAGTCATTGAAATAGAGGAGAGGAGCTTTTTCTCTCACTCTGACCTCCTCATAGGAGACCAGCTCTACTCTGAGGCAGGAGAACTACATAAAACGATGGCCACAATCGAACAGCAGCAGCAGGAGAAGCTGCTTCAGAAGAAGAACAGGAAAAGGAGGTGGTTCTAATGTGGCTCTCAAGGAGCTTCCAGCCAATAAGACCAGACTAATACCACTGCCAAACCACAACCACAAGACTTCACTACTTTATCACTAATATATATATATATATTATATATAATCACTTTTATTTCCTTTCAAAATATGAAGAGTGCAATATGCAACCTGCAGCAAAACAACAAACAGCCATCTGTCTCAGAATTAAGTAATTTTCCCCTTCAAAACAGATGAAGTCAAGAATACAATCGAAGGAGGAAAATCCAAAGAACAGAAACTGTCCGGAATTACTGTGTTGAGTTAATAAGTAGTTGTACATTAGGAGACAAGTTTGTAATATCCAACACGCACAATATACATTATAGTTTACAGAGCCCAAGTGACTTGGTGACAAGAGCTTTTGGCCTCTGTAGCTGGTGTGGAGATAATGCAGACAGTGTCCAGGTGGGAAAAGATTTGTCAGCCAGCTGTTTACGCTCCAGCAAGTACGCACGGATAGTATTCAGCTAAAGCAGACATCAGCAAACAGAGCAGAAGTACTCTGCATGAGAGCTCCACATGTTAGTCTTATCCAAAGCATAGGGATAAGACTGCATATGCCTAGGTCATTGTGTACAGCAGTGCTTACCTTTTGGTCCGTGGAAGCACTTTTTAAAATTAGCACGCTTTGTTTGAAGCCTTATTATGATATATGTATTGGGGTTGTACTTTTGTTTCATGTAATGTTCTTGTTGAATGTTGATGTATTTGTCAGTTGTGTTGTCTTTAAGAAAAAAATAAGGAACAAAACAACATATTTATAGCTGTTTTTTTGTCAAAAGCATGCAGCAAATCCTAACAATCCTTTTATTTTCTATGATGCCCCGGGTGGAGCCAGCCACTATAATTGGGCAGATGGATGTCCTCATAAAAAGTCCCTGGGCCTTTGGCTGCTGTTCTTACCCCCTTTTTTATTAGTGAAATCTATTCACCTTTGGCACCATTCATGTTTTGTGGGTAGTGCAGACTACAAGTCTGATCTGTGTCCTTGTCCAAGCTCCCGTACTGCTTTATTTGAAATGATTCAGATTCAGATTCATTTATTTGCCATTTGCAGTAAAACCACATTGGAAAAACTGTGCAAGACTACCCCGGTGTGCACCAGACAGAGAAGACGACACACACCAGAGCTCTTGCCAAATGAGAATGTATTTTTGGATTAAGGACACGCTCATCAACGGAAGTAGTAGTTGTTTATGTTCATGTTCTAATGTTTATTAGAATGTATAAAGAATCACTATGTTTCTAAAGACTGTTTAAGTAGGCTATCAGCTATACATAAATTATTTAAATAAATAACAGTGATCTAAATGAATATTAAATTTTTTTAAAGGGCACCTCTTTCTGTAAATGATCTGTAATAATCCATGAACTGTTTAGCCTTTTTGATGTTGATACCAAAACCTATTTTTTGATTCTGCAAAGGATGACAATACTGGAACAACAAAGCCCGAAGCCGGAGCAGGTGTATGGACTGTTCTGACTTCATAAATATGTTATGGTCTTAATGGCTGGAGCACAGTGGATCCTTGGTGCAGTGTCCAGTTAAAGTGAGTATTCCTGTTATTCGCACTCCCCTCTCTGAATTCTCCCTCTCTCATCATTCCTTCTCTTTTCCCTTACGTTCACAGGAGAATTGGAGCATACAGAGATGTAACCTGGGAGTCATAATCACCCAGCTGCTCCCTTCCTACAACTGCCTTTGCACCATTTTATCTATTTCACGTCCACTCCCAGCGCACTCTTCCTCCTATTTCATCCATCTTCTCATGCCCTAATCCTCCCCGCAGATGCAGCATGCGAGTTTACCCAGAATACCCCTGGGCAGGTGTTTATCCCGGCCAGGCAGAGAGGGTGAGATGTGGATCTAGATTCAGGTTCACTGAAGGTTCTCGAGGCTTAAGGTAGTGCCACCCTGCAGAGCACAGCGAGGGGTTGACCCACGGAGATTGGAGCGTTTACACCCATTCTAATCATTTAAACTGTGAAAGTGAACTTTGAGCTGATGTTTATCACTGTGATAGAATGGTAAACGAAACGGGACTGGTGTTAAGGATATGCATAAGTATCTGATTATGCACAGTATGAGAACAGAACGTAATAACAACATTGTTCTATAGCTTTCATAAGTTTAAAGCAAGAGTTCAAATATTCAGACCGCATGCTTTACTTTAGACATGAAAAACAATTGGACGTGGTTGGAGTACCGTACCAACAGTAACCTTGCTTTAAGCTGCCCGACTTTGCCATTGGGCGTTCTCAGAGGTCTCTCTTCATGGTACTGACCTGGTCCTGTCCTGCTTAGTTTTGATGGTCTGATGGGTTCAGGCTTTCTTTCACAGTTGGCACCACAACACCACATGCTGGGTAAACATGCCTTCTTCTTCTCCTTCTCATAGTACATGGAGTTCTCAATGATGCGTTAAGAATTGTGTGAAAACAATGTGTCTACTTGAGCCAGAAGCTTCATCTGTGGCCTTCATTACTTATAAGGGACTTTATTCTAATGATTAACCACTGATATTTAGTCACACATACAGCAGTCAAAATAACCATTCAGAGGACACGCTACTCAGGGTCCAAATGACAGAACAGTTTGGTGATTTTACACTGAACTCTGTAAAAATACAGTACAAAAATGACACAGCAGTGCAGCTGTCAGTGTGAATGGGGTTTTGTATTGTAGACCGGGTTAAAAAATGTTTACTATGAATAATTTTTTATTGGATTCAGGTTTCAATGTTTATGTTAATATACATGGCATGGTGGTTTTCTTGAGATAATTAGCTTGCTGTGTTGCTATATTTTCCTTTATTTATAGTCTCAGTGGAGCCGCCTTGACATTAAAGTTTGATGTCCGCTACGGAGCGACAAAATACTTTGCGGGTTTAATTAATTAATACTGGTTTCAAATCTGTTCCAAGAAAATGCAGATGTTTTCAATCAATATAATATCCGTTCAATACATAGGCCGTATATTAGGAGTGGACTGACCAAGTGCTGACGTCATATCAACCATTTGAACATAAGCTAGCTGCAGACAGTTTCTCTATATAAGTTAGCATCGTCACTCTATATACAGTACATGTGTGTCTAATGCAGTCTGTTGGAGTAAAACATTTACTTCACTTTGACTCTCATGTGCAGATACCCAAGTAACTTGAGTGCATAATAGGCTGTGTCGAGTGAGTGATTTTTGTTGTTGTCCAAGCAAATGGCGACACCAATAGCGGAACTACAAAAAAAGAGAACAGAAACTTGATAGGATGTAAGATGACCTAAATGAACTTACCCGCATGATTGACCATTAATTTAAAAGTTTCAAAGTTTGCATTCACCTGCAAACACCCAAAATGTGGTCACTAAGCTCAATCTACAATGTGTAACCAAAGTACCAAACCAAAGTACATTTAATTTGCACGCTAATTGCTCGCTAGTCTTGTCTTATATATGTTTTTTAAAGAGTTTGTATGCTTTGCCTTGTGTGTGCTCAATGGGAGGAAGTTTTGATTCAATGTCTGGGAACTTTGAGTCATACGAATGTGACATGTAATAATAGACCTGCTCTGTTCCTCAAGCTAAACTCAAATCAGTGGAGACTATAAGGACAAAGTGCAACTCAAAGTTCCGCAAAGAGGCACAGGTTTCATACACTTGACATTTTTTTTGAATGAAAACCCCATTACTTGAAACATTAAGTGAATACAATTTTTATTTTTATGTTTTAACCTTTAACCATTAATAAATAATTAATAGTCTCTTTCTACACTGTGTAGTTTTTACTCCCCTCTAGCATTGAGATCATATATTGTAATTTACGGTACTACGGTGGCTTTGCAGGACAATATGTCGTCTTTGACAGTGGTCCGCAACTCCTGGTCAAACTCCTTTGTGTCCCTTATCAACCACTGTATTTCAAGATGGCGCTAAAACATTTAGAGTCCTCCAGCCTCATGGACATTTATAAGTCAAATTCGACAATTCAAAAACATGGTGGAGGTATGTATTCATAAAAAGGTCACATTTGTTATTGGTTGTTATGTTTTCTTGTCATTTGGAGCAACTGTAAAAATTACCTTAAAAGAGTGTCCTGGACTTTACTTTACACAAAACATTGACAAGAATATAATATTCAAAGGATACATTATGTAGGATAAATTAAAATGACCTCTTTCCTCAATCAAAGACATTTTGTTGTATATTGAGACATATTATAACTTCTGTCTCCACTGTGTGTAAATCCTTGTGGTTCAGGTTTTATTGTGGGTAAGAATGTCTTAAGATAAGTGCCATGGCAACACCCTTCCCCCAACGACTCTACCAGATGTGAAGATTTACAAGGACCCACAGGGAAGACAAACCAGTCTGCTTTGGAACCACGGAGTGACCAGACCTCCCTGGGCTCTGCCCTGGGCTCTGCTCAGGCAACCAAGGGGCTTTAGGCCTCTTAGATGGCCTCAAACCTCAGCTCGTTTGAGAGGACTTCCACAACCCTTCAATAGCCTCCAGCTTCAACCTGAAGAAGTTGCTGAGTTTTGGCACCTAGACTGTGGATCGTGGGAGGACTTGGTTCAGCCACATGATACAGCCGCATGGTCCAGGTCCCGTGGACAAGAAGCCTCCATCCAACGCCATCAAGACCCAAGGACTGCTATTCACCAAAGGCCATTCTGGTTGTATGATCTGCGCTCTT